GGCCTTCCCTTCCCTTCCTCGCCCGCCCTCTCTCTCCCTCTCTCCTCCCCTCCCGTCCGATCCTCGGGCCTTTCCTGCCCTCCGGCGCTGCCCGGCGGCTCCGGGATGCGCTTTGGGAGCCTTGGCGGCGGCCGGGGCGGCTGCAGCGGAGCTGCCTGGAAGCGCCTGGGGGTGTGCGTGTGTCCGTCCCCTCGTGGGAAAGGGAGCGGGCGCCGCCTGGGGGGGCCTAAAAATAGACTCCCACGCGGGGCCAGCGCTCCGGTCGGGGACGGGGAAGGGTCCTGCCCTGCTTTCCCTGCGAGAAGGGCTACAGCGCATTCACCCGGGGATCAGGACGGCGGCGGCGGCGGCCGGGTCCTCCGTCGACGCTCTGACGTGGCAGTGCCGAGTTTATTCTCACGTGTGCAGTGCCGGGGGTGGGCGCGCGCGCGTGGAAAACCCGCTCCGCATTCCGCGTGAATCTGGCACCGGTGCACCCCTCGGGGCCAAAAGATGGGGTGGGTCCTGGGTGAGAGGGTGTGTGTCTGTGGGGGGGGGGATGCGGGAACCTGGTTTGCAGGGACTTGCATCCGGCCCGCGGCCAGCAGATCTGGAGCTGAATCAGAAGAGCCTTTGGGAAAGGCAGAATGGGAACTGCCTGTCACGCGGAATGCGGAGCTTCCAAGGTTAAAAAAATGAGGCGCATCCCAGCCAGACGGCTTGGCGGTTTCAATGCACCCTCCTCCCCCCCCCCCAATGGTTCTCTCCTCTGTACCTGGCTTTAAATACTAATTATAACAATTTCATGCATGCCAGGAAATGGAAAACTGTTAGGTGTAAGAGGGAGCACCTTTTGCAGGCAGTGCGCTGCGTGCGGAACAGCCAAGGGCCAAAGGATTGCGGGGCGTGGAAGACGGAGAGATTTATTGCGGTGTGGCTGTTTGTGAGTCACGATCAGCTTCCTTAGAGGCAGGGAGTGAAATGCCCGGGTTCCCCAAAAAGAAGAGCTAACCTGAAAATAAGCCCCCGGATGATTTTTCAGGATGCTCCTAATATAAGCCCTACCCCCCAAAAATAAGCCCTAGTGAATTGAAAACCCCACCTTCTATCCTTGTGCAGCAACCAGAAAAAGAGGACATGACTGTAAAATAAAACATTCCCTGAAAATAAGCCCTAATGTGTCTTTTGGAGCAAAAATTAAGACCCTGTCTTATTCTTGGGGAAACATAGCATTTAGCGGCGGGTTTACAAGTTACTGGATGGCTTCTGTCTTTGTATACAAATATTCGTTGGCTACAGTGTGTATCACGTCTACAGCTAGGGAAGGATGGGCTGAAGGTGGCCTTGTCTGCAGCATCCTCGGTGTGAGAGGTGCCATGCCATTGATAGGCACAGAAGTGTTTTTTGCATGCAAGCGCCTGCCTTTTCTTAGCCAGTCCCCAGAATTTACCGTACCTGGGCCAGGGTGTGTGCGTGAGAAATATTTTGCTGTCAAGGGTTATTTCTTCTGCTGAAAAAAGTACGAGTGGAAGGACATTTTCTTCCCTGTTTGCCCCCATGGCTTATGCTGGCCCCAGGATCTGTTGTTGTTGTTGACAGGGCTTTTTTTGTGTGCGTGTGCGTGTGCATGTGCGTGTGTGCACGGGAGTCCTTCTGTGGAATCTGGCTTGACCTATTTCCTTGAGTAATCTGTAGTGGATGATTGAGTTGAGGAGCCATAAATAAATATGAAGAGCAGGAAAGCCTTCTGACTCTGGAAAGTCTTTACCCAATATTACACCATCCCTTTGATTCCTCCGTGGGAGATTTTCAGGAGGAACGTGGTTGCCGAACCTGGAATAAGGTGAAGCTTGGGAGGTTCAGGTTCTTTTGCCTCCCCCCCCCCGACTTTCCTGGGTGCTCTGAGCCAAGACGAGAGTTGGTGGCCCCGTATATCAATCCCATGACCTTGCTTCTCTCCAGGGCAGTGGTTCCCAGCCTCAGGTCCCCAGATGTTCTTGAACTACAACTCCCAGAAGCCCTGGCCAACACAGCGGGTGGTGAAGGCTTCTGGGAGTTGCAGTCTGAGAACACCTGGGTTAACCATGGCTGGGAACCACGGCCCGAGAGCAGGAATGAGCTAAGGGTAGCCTTTTAAAGAATAACGGGGTGCCAAATGCCTTCGGAAAACATCTGGATGGCCGCAGTTGGCTCCTCTCGGTCCCAGGATGGGGGAACTTTAATCCTGTGCTTTGCATTCTTGTTGTTCTGCTTGTGTACTGCTCGAACATCAGAGAGGCCTGTATTACTTTGCCTAGTGAGTAAGGGAGAACGCTTGTTCAAAGGAGCCATGATAATCAGCAGTGCAAATGGCTACTTTCAGTCAATCCGGCCCAGAGTCAAGTCCTGGGTGACCGCCCTGCGTAGTAAAACAGCCGAGTCCTTGACGGGCAGCACTTTAGCCATGCACTTGTTGACTCAAAACCAAATCCAGTGGCGTTCAGCGGTGGACAGATGCAAGAGATCAGCCTTGTCGTCTTTCTCTGGACATTTTTTCCTGGGGTGTAAGTCTTACTGCGATCCCCAAGGCCCGCACCCCGGCAGACGTCCTGGGGGATCGCCGCCTTATAGTCCTGGCCCTTGCTTATTTTGTATTTGTTGGGCTTCGGAGCGTTTGACGGCAGTTGTGCAGTGTTTGCAGAAGGAAAGACCGAAAGGCTGTGATTTGTGCGTTTGAAAGACACTGCCTACGTCAGGCCTTACGGAGACGGCCAGCTGATGCAGGGAGGGATTCGGGGAATCAGCGAGACGGGACATGTTTACCTCTTTTTCTGCAGCTGGTTGTTGGCAGTGGCAAGGATTCAAACCCAGGAAACCCGCTGAAGGTTATTTGATCCCTGGAGCCAGTCCAAGGTGGAGGAAGGGGGAAAATATCCTTTTGGAAGGACAGTTCCACACAGCCTGGTCACATGGGTGGGGATTCTGGGCGTTGTAGTTGAAAAATAGGATGTTTTCCCATCTGTGAAGTCTGTGGCTGTTGTCGATAATAGTATATGGCTAGAGATGGGAGAGCCTGGGGAGGGGGGGGACACGTTCTATATGGCTTCAAAATTTCTGCAAACTTTATGTCTCTATGTGTGGCTTTAATTTAGGCGGAGGATATCCATAGAGTCTCAAAGCATGGGGATCCATGAAAGCCCTAGATGCTGGCTGGCGCTGGCAGAGAAACTTAGGAGATCTGCTGTGAGGGCCACCCCAGGGAGGAAGGAAATGTGCGCCGACGTCGGCTGCCCTGTGGGCCAGCGGGGGCCATGCCGGGCGACCCTCGTTTCTGCCTGCAGAACAATCTTTGGAAGCTCAGGGGCTTTTGGTGGCCGATCTCTTTCGCCAGCTGGGGCTTGATCGGTTTCCCCGGCTAGAGCTGGCTGTCCTGACCTCGCCTCTTACCCTCTTACCGTCTCTCATCAATCGTGGGAGCCCGCTGCTGGGTGGTGGAGACCGTCTGACAAGCATCTGCGAAGAGTCGTCCGCTGAGAGCCCCCTCTTTTTTCGGTCTTTGGGGAGCCTGAAGGGGGCTTGGGGACGGGGGGGGGGACAGAAACCACCGGTGACCTTCCTTTCTTCTGATTGTTGTTATCACGCTGCTCTCAGGCAATTGGTAGGAGTCTCTGCTGGGTTCCCCGGATGGCGAGAGGGTGTCAGGGGCCGCCCTATTCCTGTTTATTCTTTTTTTTAGCCCTCCCTGGGCCTTGTGCCAGCCCAAGAGGAAAGGATCCGGTTCTTTTTGTTTTTCGGTTTTTTTTAGACTTTCCAACTTTACAAAGCGAAGATCTTTGTTTCAAGGTTTGCGAGGGTTTTTTTTCTCCCCCGGTTTGGCTTGGACGTTAATTTCCTGCCTGGATGCCGGCCTCAGGAAAAGGGAGCAAACATTCTCCTGGTTTCCAGTTTAACTTGACAGGGTCTAAGGAAGCCTGGAACGGGGTAAGAACACGTCTCTGCCCTCTCTGTGCTGGCTTGGGCCAGGGCGTCTTACAAGGGTGCAGTTCCCTACCCACCCCAGTCCTCTAATAGGCCTCTGATGTCACGGAAGAAAGCCTGATACGGCTTCTCACCGGGAATTCCCCCTTCTGATTAAGTCCAGACCGCCCCATTTCCATGCTGTGCACCGCTTACTGCTTTCAACCAGGGTGTGTTTTTTTTGGCATGCAAAGTATAGGATAACCTTGATTATTTTCCTGACCAGTGGCCTGGGGGAGGCAAGACTCTGTGGTTCTGCCTCTCTTCTTCCCAGGTAGAGAATCACATAAGAATCCTAGAATCGCGGTGTTGAAGGGGGTTCTGAGGATCACTAGGTCTTGACTCCAGGCAGAAATCTGCAGCCTGTCATGCAACCTCTGGTTATGAGCCTCTGATGATGGAGAACCCAGCACCTTTCCAGGGAGCCTGTTCTACTCTTCCGCAGCTCCTCCTGCCATGTGGAAGTTCTTCTAAAGGCAAAAACGTGGGAACACTTAATACTGTACCATGGTGTCTTAGAACCAGGTGGCATCGCACGATCCTTCTAAGCCAGTCCCTTCTTCTGATGCACAACATCTCCAGCTAAAGCAAGCCTGACAGACGGCCGCTCCGCCTCTGTTTCATCATCTCCCAAGGAAGGGCGACTTGCCCCATTCCGGGGTTGCCCATTTTGCCAGAAAACACATGCTTACCGTCAAGGAGTTCTTAACGTTTTGTTAGGATTGTCTTTCTTTTAATGGGAATCTGATCGAACCTCCTGGAAAACGATCTTCTCTAAAATCGAGGAGCAAGCCTGCGACAGTCGCCCAAATTATTCGAAGGAATGTCAACGTACGAGAGGAACTTGCCCATGTTTTAAGATCATCTGCGGAAATTCCTGCCCATGGCTGCACCACCAATGTCAGAAAGGCTGGAGGTTCATAGAGGGCATCTGGTGAGTTTTCTCTCTTGCTGGGCACCAAGTGGGGACTGGCACAGCCCTTATTTCTGCACCGAAGAAGCGTTTCACCAGACGGTTCAGGGCTCATGAAGATCTTAGCTCGGTTTCCAGTCTTCTCAGTAAATATGCATTGTTAGGTGGCTTTAAAATGTTTGTCTTAAGGCAGTTTTATTCACTAGATCCTGCCTGAGATCTGGTGATAATAGGATGAGTTAGAAGTACCCCAATGAATAAATAATGCCAAGCTGAAGTTTTTTGTGAGGATGAAAACAGAAAGACAGCTGTAAGATTAACAGAAAATGAGTTTTGTTTCCTGGCTAGCCAAAAAAGTGGGGAGAGCAATAAAGGGCTGGCAGGAGGAGGCTACAACGTGGGAATTATCAGAAGTCTGTTTTCCTGGCATGGTGTTGTTTGCCAGGGGCATTGGACGTTCTTGTCATCCCTGGGGAGACCACCAGTTTGTAGATGGGAGTGAGTAGAGTTTTAGTGACCCTATAAAAAAAGTGGACAAGGCTGTGGGGAAGGGATGTGAGCCGAGGTGCAGGCCGGTCATGCCGGGCTGTTCCCCGTGGCTCGTATTTTTACAGGAAGCTTATCTCTGTCATTGAGGAAGTAGTTTGTGAGAGATGTGACTCTAAAGGCTTTTATAAGGTATGGGGTTGAATTTATAGTAGGGGGCATCTATCCCACCACCGGGAGTAATCTCTGGAATATTGCGGGGACTGGGCAGATGTGCCTCTGAGCAAGTGCCGAGTACATTTCTCTCTCTCTCTATCTCGCACGCACACACACACACACACACACACACACACACACACACACACACACACACACACACACACAGAGCTCTTGAATGCATAGCATCTGACATGTGTCAGAAAGCTTCTCCTTGCTAAGGGCTTCTGGTATTTTCCAACCGCTTGGAGGTTCAGCCTCTCTCAGTTTCTCTTGGTCTCGATGGAATAAAATGCAGAGAAGGCAGCGCCTGGCCAGCTGTGCCCTCACTCCCCCCCCACACACACACACTTCTGCAGTCGGGGTTTTCATTTGCCATTGGCTATGCCTGCCCCTTCCGGTGGCACCAGCAGCAGGCAGAGCCCCGGTGAGTAATGGGCTGGGCAGAGCCTGTGTGTGCCTGCCTGTCCAGTCGCTGCAGAGCAGTCTGTGTTAATCATTCACCAGAAGTCAATAATAAAAGTACTTCTGCCCTCTGTGTGTCTGTGAAAGAGAGAGAGAGAGAGAATCCCATCCTGTAGGCACAACAAAACTGGGCATCGTGTCTGTATGTTCTCCTTTTTTCTTTCTTTTTGGTTAAACGTGGGTGCCATTAGTGCTAAATAGAAATGCCTTCTGTGCATGCTCCTGGGACACGTGAGTGCTTTGCAATGTCACGTCTGCTAGGATCAGGCCAGGCGTGAGAAACCAGCTCACGGCTGAGCCCCAGCGGCCACCCATCCTCGCCCCACATTTTGACGTCCTTCAGCCGGACTGCTTGCATGCAAACCTTCTCCAGCAGCCCCCACTGGCTGCAGGATTCTGGGAAATGTAGTTTCAACAACGAACATTTTGTTTGATCAGGTTGTTTGACTTTGGGAAGGGCAGCTTCCTTTCTAACCTGGGACGATGGCCCCACATTTGTTTGAGGGCCTGCGTTTTTCTTGACGAGGGGCACACAGAACAGGATGAGCGTGAAAAATGGCCCCAAGCGGCCCTTGAACATGATGAAAAAAGCAGATGCAGCTTATGATGATAATCTGAGAACGGCAGAGCCGGAAGGGTCCCTCTGGATCATGGAATCCTGCCCCGGTCAAGGAGGCCCTGTGGGGGAATCGAACTCCCAACTTCTGGCTCCACAGCCGGATGCCTAACCTCCTGAGCTATCCAGCCGTTTGCTCGGGGGAAGCCTTAATGGTGACACTTAGTGCAATGCAGAGGAGAGGCTCCCAGCCAAAGTGAGGGGATCCCACGGGCACAAAGCTGGGCCCAAACAGTTGCGTTCGTAAAACCATGGTTTCCATGTGCCACTCAGTAGAGGCGTCCTGGGAGGAAGATGCCACCCTAGCAGCGCCATAGGAAACCCTTAGTTGCCTGGGGTGCTTCTCTTCGGAGCTGCCGGCCCTTGGCAGAGGAAGCTTTCTTGCAAACTCACCATTTTAACCTGCTTCAGCCTGGGCAAGAAAAAATAAAATTAAATTAAAAACCACAAAGTCAGGGCATCTCGAAAGCCGAGACGTTTGGTTTTCTCCTCCTTCCTAGACTGCCGTCCATCTCCTCAGAGAGAACTCCTGTCGGGCCAGTCTTTCGCGGTCTCGGGAATTTCCTTGCGTTGTGCAGGCGCAAAGCTGCGGTCCTCTGTCTGTTGTCCGTGAGATTTCAGTGTTTCTCAGAAGAAGGCTCCCAGCGTGCGCTGGGGAGCGAAATTTTGTGGCTTCGCTGGATGCCTCCTTGGGTTTTGACAGCCACCCTTTGGGAGGGAGGGCGGTGTTCGCTAAGAATCTCTCCCCAGCAAAGATGTATTCCCATGAGTTATGGACAGCGCCCCCCACCCCAGTTCCTGTTGAGCCCAGTTGAGCTGCCAGAATCAAGTATGTCCTGAAACACAGCATGCAAGTTTGCAGACACACCCACGACAACGTGGTCCGATCTCCTTTAAACCTACGCCGAACTTCCTGGCTCATCGTGGACTATTTGAGGCTGCAACTCTTAGGTTTTGTTCCACCGCACTGAAGTGTGTCATGAAAAACCACAACAAAGCCCTGTGTGACACAGGAAGGGCCTCTCAGACGTCCTTCTCTCTTGACGGTCGGCCACCCTTCCCCATTTCGGCACAGGATGAGTGCAGGCGTGCTGCCTCGGGCGGTATTCCTGGACTGGTGGAAAGGGCGGGGATGAGGAAGGGCTTCTGAGGTTGTGTTCAGGCGGGCCGTTGAGCGCGAGCCGGCTGTCTGCAGAACACGTGGGAGAGGGCTTTTCATGTCCTTCCTGGAGGACCGAGGGCCTAGACTTGATGGCCCTTTGGCGGTCGTCTCCCCACAGGCTGTGCCGTCTGGGGGACGAGAGGCACTGTAGTCTAGCACGTCTGGAGGGCACCAGACTAAGCAGGGCTGAACTAGAAGACCTCAAGCGTTCCTTGCTCGATTGTAAGGATCCTCTTGTCAGGCCTTTTCACACACTGTGATGTGTTGCTTGGGAGGAGAAGTGAGGGTCGCCCTAGGAGGAGACACAACTAACGTCCCCAAGCCGGTCTGCCTAACAGCAACAACATGCAAAAATATAACTTGCCAGCCTCTAAAAACCCATGGGAACATCAGGTAGAAAAGGTGTCAGAAAATGAGAAAGTACGGGATAAGTATTGTGAGCAATGATTTGTTTTAAATTCCAACAAATCTCTTGAGTTTCAAAGCCTTTCTGCCCTTGCGTGCCTGGCCTTCCGGATTGCTCTCTCCTTGCTTCTGGCTCCTTAAAAACCACCCCAGTCCAACAGGCTCCCTCCTCCTTTCCTGACGTCATCGGTTCAGGCGGCTGATTCCGACACATCCAGCCCTCGGCAGGAAAGAGCGGAGCCCGCTTTGCAGCCACTGGGTTCCTTGCATGTTCGCCCTGCCAGGTGTCAGAAATAGTGACCCAGTTTAAATGTGATGCCCAGCGTCGGCTTGACCTCTCGTGCCTTTGTCTGGGAAGGCGGGTGACCGGGAGAGAAGGCTGCAGGACACGGCTGTCCTCTCCATCATGGGCTGCAGCCACTGAGAGGTGCATCGGCCCCTCTCCTGAGGGAATTGAGAAGAGAGAGGTCACTGCGGCTTTTTGGCTAGCACACGGTGCGCAGCGATGCGCCCTCGTTCCCATGCTCACATACAGCGCTTCCGTGACCATGCCGCTTGCACCTGCTCATTTTCCCAGCCTTTCACCTGATTTTAGTTTGCTGTGCTGTGCCAACTCAGAGAAGGGAGAGAATGCAAAACGATGCCAGCTTATTTTCTAGGTCACGGCGACGGATCCGGCTGGGGAGGGAGCAAGTGTTCCCCATCAGGCTGTGTTTCCTGCCATCGGCGTCTTGAGCCCCGGTCCGGATCTGAAAGGTTTGGACGTTCACGCCACCCGTGTGTGGCGCAGAGCCGTTCTTGTGACACGGGCCTCAGGGCAGAAGAGAATGTGGAGGCTGCTTTCTGGCTCAAGGGAAGACATTCTTTCCCTCTGTTCTAACCGTTGGGCTGGATTTGTGCGTCTAGGGTCAAAACAGAGAGCTTTGGTCTTGTCGGAAATTCAGCACACCTGCGTTTGGCGAAGCGTCTTTTGGGGCAGTTTGTGAAATCTTGCTCAAAGCTTCTTCATGGATGGTCTCTGGATTCTGAGGAAGTTCATAAAGGGACTTTGAGGAGTCTATGGTCTGGGAGCAAAAAGGAAAGGAAAAAAAGGGGGGGATCCAAAGAAAAGTTACATCCCCCCCCATTTCTTTCCTTTTTTAGATTTGGTGACTCAAAACAAGTTCACCACTGTAGGCCTTAGTTTGATACAGTACTGTACGTATTATAAAAGTACCGTATTTCAGGATTCTGGCCACCAAGTGTAGCTAGCCTGGGAAGAACCCCAAGCAGGACACATTTTATCTGCCACCTTACTGGAAAGCTCACAAGGATGATCGGACCTTGGAACCGTTACTTGAATGGACGGCCACTGCCAGGACCCCAAGCCGCCCCATGTTGACTGGGGATGCTGGGCGATGTAGTCCAAAGAGAGAGAGGGAGAGCATTTCCAAGGACTGAGAATGATCTTCTGTTTAATCTCAAATGGCACTGGCGAACATTTTGAAAAGACAAACTGAGCCATCGTTTAATAAAAAAAAACAAACCGAAACAGAGGAGCATGGGGAAACTGACAAGTGGCGGCCCGCAGGCACGGCGGAGAAACTGACAAGGAGAGTTCCTATTCTCCGAGCCATGTTTTAATGATTTGTTGATTTTCATAAACGAGCCTTTCCAAGACGGGGTGCGTGA